CCGAGCTGCGCCGCGGAGAACAGCACTTTACGGGCCGACACCCCTCGTAAGTAACCCGGCCGACTCGAGCACTTGAGCACTGCTGCCCCCCCCCCCTCCCACCTACCTCACCGCGCCCGACAGCCAAACTATATGACCCAAAAGCAACACGCGTTTCCCTCTGCGCTCTGGTATCTCGCTCAGGGAGTACATACCGCAGGTAGTTCTCACCCCGGAACTAGCTCTCCTCACCACCGTCTCGGTCGCCACTGTTCTCATCGGCCCTCTCTCGCCCTTGGCCTTTGATTACCAGCTGAACGGTCGTTTGCTTTACCCCCAGTTCACCCCCCCCCTTGCCCCTTCGAGTTCTCTTGCCACTTGCTCCTACCTGTGGGCCTGTGCGGGGGGCGCAGCGCGGCGGGGCCCTATTTCGACCCCGTCAATGTCGAAAATTGTTTCGGGATCGGCGTGGCGCGGCGCGGCCGCACTCGCTGCTCCCCCGCCACACACTCGGGCGGGCGGGCGGGCGGGCGCGGCGAGCCGAAGCCACTCCAATGTTCAGTCAGTCAGCCGACGCGCGCCTCGCCTGCCTCCCGCCTCCGCCCCGGGGGCCCAACCGCATGCATTATCCGATTGGCTGCCCCCTGCCCGCCCGCAGCGGGCCCGTCCCCAGCTCGAGACGTTCACCCCGCCCCACCCCGCCACTCCTCGAGGACGAAGGCCACCCCCCATTACACTCGGCGTCCACTAGAGGACGGGGGCGCCGCCGCGGCCAACTTGGCCTCGCTACTTGTCCTACTTTTTATTTCACTTTCCTTTCATATTTCGGGGAGCCCCCTTCCCTCCTCCTCCAAACCCACCTCCTCGCGTCGCCGCCGGAATACACTTTTAAAATGTAAATTCGTGGCGGCGTTCGTGGTCTCGGTTGTGCCGGATCCTTCCCCCCGCTCAGCCAATTATGATAGGCGGCGGAGCGCGGAGGGTTGTGGGGACCTACCTGCATCGTGGAGGACGCTGAAGCGCGGGTCCGACGTGATCCTGGTCTCGCCGGCGGTGAGCACGCGCGCGCGCTGCGCCTCCGGGTTGCCGTCCTGGCCGCGGGTGATGTACTTCCACAGCACCGTGTTGTTGGCGACGTCCGTGACGACGCAGGTGAGCAGCGCGTCCGAGCCCTCGACCGACTCCACGGGCTGCACCTGCCTGCCCATGCGGGGCTCGCCGCCTGCGACACAGAGAGAGAGAGACACACAAGCACTGTTAGTACCGCACTGCAACAACAGCACGATCACAATCATAGCAGTCCTGCAAGCAAAGCGAGCAAACGTCGCACCGCGACCTCATCCGCGAGACGCCGCCGCGGCCTCGGGGGTGCTGTAAAAGCAACGATCACTGCTGTTGGCCGTAAGGCCTGCGCTGTAACCACGCACTTAAGACAGCGCGGAACGCCCGCGGGGGGTCGGTGCCCCGTGCCTTCCCCTGCGAACACCTCGCGCGCGGCGCACCATCCTGCGAAGCACCCTCCTCCTCCCTCCGCGAGACGAATCAAAAGGGTGTAGCGTGACGTGCTCGGAATTTTATTTTGTAGCTCGCCCAGTCAACACTTTCTCCCTCTCACGGCGCGGGGGCGGAGTACGCGTATGGCCTCGCGCAGAGCACCCCCGCCCCACGCCGCCGCAGCCACACCTTAGTTTGGCCTCGAGGGGGGAAAGTGAAGCGAGTCACCGAGGTAAAGATCCGCAGGTGTGATACGGGCAACCTCCCCGCCTCCCTCGTCCCGGCCGCGCCGTAACTGAATCGAGAACACGCGGGGTTTCCTCGCAAGCACCCCCTCTCGGCCTCGGCTCCCACACACTCGCTCTTATATGACCTTGACGACGGGCGGCGCGCGGCGCTTTTCCGGCCGAGGAAATCACCTTTGGGGGCGCCCGCGACCCACCGCCGCCGCGGGGCGCTACAAGACACTTTCACTGCGCGACGCTGGGGGGCGTCGAGCTTGCGAGGGGAGGGGCGGCGGGTGATCGGCAAAAGTGTTAATATCCCCTCCTCCCCCCGCCATGGCAGCGCCCGCATTAGTAGTCTCATAGCGCCCCTCCCGCCTCCCAGGCCCGCGCCGCGCCGCCACTCTGCGAAGAACTCGTTCGCCACTTTGTAGCCCTGTCACACACCCGTGGAAAAGGTGGTACACGGTTGTTCGCCGACAGGGAGTGACTATGACAACCATCTTTTATGCATGTGTGCTGGCCGTGGCACACACTTTATGTGTATGCCATTTTTTTTTGTCCAATTTGTTATGGAATGGACAAACCACTTCACTCTGAACGCCGTTATGACGCCGTTTGACGCCGTATGGTCGCCTTGCTTGCCAAAATTAAGGCGAAACATTAGTACTCTCTAAAAGAAGCCCAAAAATGTGGCATTCATTGTGAAACGTCAATTATTTTTTGGCAACACGATCACCAATAATTCTTCAGACTTAAAAGTAGTGATAAGAAGTGATGTTGTAAGCTGTCGTGAGAAGAAAACACGAGAAAGAAAAGCCCAATTGGTTTGTATTTTTGGCGCGCCACCCCGCGCCACGCTCGGCCCGATTGCCGACTGACTGACACTCGGCGCTCCCCCTGGAGGGGTTGGCCCCCGGCCCGCGGCCCGCACGCCGCAGCGGCCGCGGAGAGTGGAAACTCTCGCCGATTTATTTTCTCGCACGGCGGCGCGCGCCGGAACAAATCGCAGGTTATTTCTGCGGAGAATCGACTTTGCCCGAGTGTCTATGTGTGTGTGTAGGTGTGTGTAGGTGTGTGTGTGTGTGTGTGTGTGCCGGGACCTCCAGACAGCAGGGCCGATTTAAACTTGGCGCGCAGCACAAGAAGTGAACGAGAGACGAGCAGAAGGTCGGCGGCGTTTGGTCCTTAATGCCGTATCTCACGCACAGCACGGACCCGACCGGCGAGCTCTCCGGCGCTCCCGACAGTGAGCGAGCGCCCTCGCGAGAGACGTAGTCACACTTGGGGGAGGGCAAAAGGGGGCATAGCCTGAGGGAACGTATAGCCCAACCAAAGACACCAAATCCGAATAGAAATTACCGCTCAGCTGCAAAGCTGAGGCCACTCTCTCTTTCTCTCTCTCACACACGCACACACACACACGCACACACACACACACACGCACGGTGTGTGCGCCCGCTCATCCGTCTCTTCCGCTCTCGCGCTTCCGGGACCGCCCCGCGACACGCCGCGCTAGTCTTTGATCCCCTGAGGTATGCCCGCGGCGGGCAGGAGTGTGCGGCTACCCCC